TATATATATATATATATGTATATGTATATATATATGTGTATATATATATACATATGTATATATATGTATGTATGTATTGTATTCTGTATATAGTGCTGCGCGACGATGTGTTTGTCCACTCCGCTTGCGAACAAGTTCCCATGCGGAATTATATGAAAATATTATCGAAATAATTTTTTTTGATAAATGTATTATAGATGGTGTTAACGGTGTATCATTCCCATGAAACACCGTAGGTTAAGGATGTTGTTAACCGAGCACTCCCTTGTATATATATATATTTATTTTTATGTATGTCAGATGATTGACACTGTGCTGTTAGAATTATTTTATAGGTACAAACCAATTATTGGCTGCTGAAGAAAACCTTTTCAATTTAAAGGTCAGGGATTATCTGACACCATTTTTGGGAAAAAGGTTTTTCAGTTGTACTTTGCATAAAGAGACCAAAGAAATGAATAATTATTGTGTTAATTATTAGTTAAATTAATAATTAATACAATCATTGTAACCAACATTCAAAATTATTCAACTTTTGATACTGTAACTGACCTGGTTTTTCAGCCAGTATTTACAAACTTTACGTGACTGAGGCTTGTAGAATTCATTAGCAATGTTAATATATAGTTCATAATATAGTGACAGAATCGTTACAGTAACAAAAAAAAAAGTTTTTTTTCAGCAAAGGAGGCAGAAGTAAGAGTTTAAGTCGATTTGGATCAATTTGGAGGTTTGATATTTTATTTAAATTAGAAATAGTTGAAATGTTCTAAAGGTACATCTAATATAATCACTCACAATTAACTTGTATCAAACATTTTTTTTAAATTTCCAATATTTTCATTATTTTTGTGATAACCATTTTCTAACCTAAAAAAAAAATTAAACAGTAAAAATATAGAAAAAAATAAACCAAAAGACATCGGCTGGTAGCTTTTACCTAGAGGAGATCGAACACAGCATTGTGTTCCTCACTCTGATTGGCTCATGCATCGTAGCATCTCCTCTTGTCTGTCTGCCACTACGGGACTGTGTCAAAGACGCTGACACAGATGACAGTTAACAGCCTTTATTTTTTCTTTACAATAATGTGCGCCCCTGCGCTGTGCCCGGCTTTCATATACGGTCCATCCGTCTTGTCCGTCCAGTATTCACTCCTCTGTTCACTCTCCTCTCTCCTTGGCGTCGGCTCCCACTAATATAAGGAGAGGAGCGGGTTACTCGATTTTGCGCTAACCTCTGCTGTGTCGTGTATTTAATTTATTTACCCAATATGTATGTCTTATATTTCCATTCTACAACTTTACTGTGCATATAATTTTGTGGGAAAGGGTAATACAGTCTAGGGTTGATAACAGTGTGAGGGAGGATCGTAAAGGGTAAATATATACGTTAATAATATAATAACTATCTCGCCCCTATTTCACAGATTTTCCCTTTTTGCGGTGGGTCTTGAAACGCAACTATCGCAATAGGAGAAGGGACCTCTGTAATTGAAAATAAAAACCTAGAAAATGGCGTGTCTTAAGACCTCAAACAAACTTTCAGAAGTTTCAGAACAGCAGTGTGTAATCCAGTCTTGAACTGAGGTGTCTGCTGCTGAAGCCCTGGACTGGCTATATAGTAGAGTGTTTTTAATTTTTAAGGGGTATAATAATTTTACTAGTATTTACTAGTGGAACATCTCCAGGAGAAACTCTTGAGAAGTACTACAATCTAAATATACTTAGTCCTAGTATTGTCATATTTTTCACGTGAGGCTAGAAGTCACAGTGTCGGCACCTCGTGACATTTCCGGTCCTGTGCTTGTTCTGCAGGACACACGGTGACTTGGTGAGCGGTCTTTACCATCAGATCCTACTGTCGCTGCAGAAGGTTCTGTCTGATCCTGTGAGACCGCTGTGCTCCCACTACGGAGCTGTGGTGGGACTACATGCTCTAGGATGGAAGGTACATTTACTGTCTTCTTCAACCAATTTCATTCCATTATTCATCTCTATTTGACAACAAAATATACAATTCCTAATCATGACAAATAGTCGCTGGTTCGTCTGATCTCTATTAGCAGTTGCGTAAGTAAATATTATATTCCATTATTGAGAAATAGTTGCTCTCTGGAGTCTTTGTCACCTTCTTGTGTCTCTTGTTCACTACAGGCTGTAGAGAGAGTTCTCTTCCCGCACCTTTCTGCCTACTGGGCAAACCTCCAGGCCGTGTTAGACGATTACTCCGTGTCCAATGCTCAGGTCAAGGCTGATGGACACAAAGTCTATGGCGCCATTCTGGTCAGTGGATGCTTTTTACATCAGTGTTTCCCATCTTTTCAATTTTTTTTCAGACCCAAGGTACATATTTAATATTATTTTTAATATTTTTTTACTCACTATGAAAACTGTGCCAGTTTAGTTGTGCACCTGGCTGATATACTAAGCAGCAATTGAAGAAAGACTAGCCATCTGCTTCCACCTAGTGGAAGGAAATGCAATTATTCTGTGTGTTCCCTAATGTGCATTGGATCTAATTTGACCTTTTGCAAAACACCGCCCTCAAACAGTTATAGTCCAATCCTACATTCTAGCCACTGTTACTATATAAGTTTCTGATTTTAATATTTTCTTTTCTTCGATCTGGAGGTATTGTTCAAAAACGAGTCGTTGACATACACTGGTAAACGTCTCCCTGTCATAACACTGTGTTGACACCCGCATCTGCTCGACAGGCTAGCACTAACCCCGAACACTAACTTGGGCTTCTATGAAAGGTCAATTCTGTTTTTTTTTTTTTTGTTTTTTTTTTTTTACAATAACAGTTGTTTGTGTTGTGTACTGCAGGTGGCAGTAGAGCGTCTGTTAAAGATGAAAGCTCAGTCCCTGTCTCAGCCTGCAGAGGCAGCGTCCAGCACCTATGCTGCATCTGGGTTTAGCCATGGCGGACACAGAATGAGCTCCCCCGGTCTGAGTCCTCCTACAGAACCTCTGTCGGAGGGAACGCTCGGAATTGCAAGCCACCTGCAGGCAGGAGGCGCAGGCTGTCCCTGGGAGGAGTGGACTCCAGTCCCTCTCCCTGCTATGTACTGTGAGCTCTACTCCTTTTTTGGAGACAGTCTAGCTGTCAGGTTCAGCACAGGGCCTGGTTTAGGCAGTTACCCACCGTGCACCCCATCCCACCCCGTTGATGCCAGAAAAGAGCTGCCCGGCCCTACCTCCAACCCTGACACAACTCGCAAGATGCCGCAGCTTACAGCCAACCTCAACATCAGCCCCAGGCATGATGGGAGTCCTCGCACTGACCCAGCACCGCCCAGTCTGGCTGCTACAGGATCAATGAGGTAAAGAGAAGACCTAACATGTGAGGGAGACATCCAGACTCTGGTCTAAATCTCCCCTCTGAATCTGTACATTCTGTCAACATGTATGTATATATATATGTATATGTATGTATATATATATATATATATATATATGTATGTATATGTATATATGTATATATATGTATGTATATATACATACATACATACATACATCCATATATATATATACATACATACATGTTGACTGAATGTGTATGTGTGTATATGTATATATGTGTATATGTATATATGTATATATGCGTATATATGTATATATATATATATGTATACATATATGTATGTATGTACAGTATGTATATATGTATATATGTACAGTATATATATGTATGTGTATATATGTATCTATATATGTATGTATGTATATATATGTGTGTGTATGTATATATGTGTATATATATGTGTATATGTACATATGTGTATATATACGTGTATATGTTTATATATATATGTTTACATATATGTATGTATGTACAGTATGTATATATGTATGTATATGTATGTATACATATATATATATATATTATACGTATAATACGTTGGTATTATACGTATAACAGTGCCGAGCAAAGTGAACAAGTGGCGATGGATGAGCCAATCAGCGTGAGGAACACAATGCTGTGTTCGATCTCCTCTAGGTAAACAAAGCTACCAGTAATGTGTTTTAGTTTATTTTTTGCTATATCTTTACTGCTTAATTTATTTTAGGTTATAACATGTTTTTTATCACGAAAACAATAAAGATATTGGAAATAAAAAAAAAAAAATGTACCGTGAAATACCACGATATAGCGGTGAGGATTAAAAAAAAAAATTGGCTATGTACTGAAGGAGCCAAAGGACAATGGTGATATAGAGAAGGAACACTGTGTATATATACATGTATGTGTATCATTCTTTACATAATAATAATATAATGTATGTATGTATGTGTCAATCATTCCCTCCGGTTTGGTTTAACTCTCCTCAAATAGTGGGGCGGGCCCCCCTGGGGGTGGGGCGCAAAGGGCTTCTGATGGAACATGGCACACATATAGACATAAATGTACCACTGCTGTAATGCATGAATGATAACAGGCCTCCAGTCACTAGGTGGCAGCAACTCCTACAGTGGTTTGTACAGATAAAAAATATACATGTTATCAGGTTCTCAATAGTATTTCAGTTTGTGGGGGTGTGGGTCGGAGGGGGAATGAAAACATTTCTGTCCCAGAGATGGGGGGGGTCTGTTTGTCATTATCAGGTCTCTGACTCGCTCCTCCTCCTCAGTCCACCGCTCCAGATCCTCCTCTTCCCGCACAGGTCAGTGCTCTGCAAGTCTTTCCAGGGAGGTTTTCACCAAAGCTCGCTTTACCTCCCCGCAGACTGCACTGCCAGCGTTCTCATTTCTCATCGGTGGGCGTCAAATGGGTCGCCGCTGCCAGGGTCGTCGCCCCTTCCAGACTGCCTTCGCCACACCTGCCTCTCTCACAGCTGTACCTTCACGTTCCTACGCTCACAAACTGCCCGTCATCGGCAGGGTGGGTAAACCTGTACATCGCTGGACGTGTTCACATTACTCTCTTCATCTGCCGCTTTAAAAAAAAAAAAAAGAGAGATGGACATAGTTTAAAATTTTTGGTTGAGGATGTGTGATGGTTGTGGCCATCAAATGCTAGCAGAACAATGACTGTCATGGTGGAAACACAGCAACGGTTATCAGTGGGACTGGAGTGATGGCAATGTAATGTCTGGACAACAAAGTTCTCTTGTTTCTCTGATTCTGACGCAAGGAAAACGATGATGCCATTCCATTGTTTTTTCGATTGCATCTCTAGCTAAGATGTTTTTTAGTACTGATTTTCTAGTAGCAGTGGTGGCTTAGCACTTAAGGAAGTGGGCTTGGATCTGGAAGGGTTCAGGTTTGAGTCCACCAGCTGCCAAGTTACCACTAAGGTGCTCTGAGCATGTCACCGTCCCCACACACTGCTCCCCAAAAAGCTGCCCACTTTGGTGATGGGTTAAAAGCAGAGGTCACATTCTCTTATAACCTGGTGGACAGTTTCTAACAGTTTCAGCAGAACACAGATTATTCCCATAATCATAGTGGAAAACAGTGATTGAAATGTAAACACAGAACGTGTTTAAATAAAAAAAATACATGTTTTCAGTTCCTTTGTTTTTTTTTCTTTGTGTCAAAATTAAACCTTACTGAGGTTTATCTGTCTATCTATCTATCTATCGAAACCTTACTGAGGTTTATCTATCTATCTATCTATCTGTCTATCTGTCTATCTATCTATCCATCTGTCTGTCTGCCTTTCTGTCTGTCTATCCATCCATCTATCCTAACATAAGAACCATCTCGCTTCACTACCATACCTCCATCCAGTGACCCATTGAACAATAACTACCCCTGTTTGACATGGAACGCCGTCGGTTCTGAAACTGAAACATTCATCATGTAGCTTCATCATGTGCCTATTGTGTGCAAAACATTCTCTGCATTTTACCCCATTTTATTAGTTATTACATTTTTATCATTTACCACATATTATAAATTGGAAAGATAACATTAGCTTTATTTTCAATATTTGACCCAACTCTTTTAATTATACATACATACACTACTACAGTTTAGGAAGATCCGAATACTCCCATGCATCGGTTTTGTATAGTACATATACAATACAACTCATTTATTTATGCATTTAGTAAAATAATGAACTGTTCAGTTGTATTTTTTTTTAGATTATCAATATTTACTGTGGTACGCTGACTAAGAAGGGGAAACATGATGACGATATTTTGTTAATTAAAATCAGAAATACTGTTATGTGCCTGACAATTAGTGAGATGATTTTTTTGTATTCTCAAACAATTACTAGACCCTTCCATAATATGGTAGTGCCAGTAGTATTCTCAAGCTCATATGATTTGTAGATCCCCGTTTTAATAGGCTAAAAGGCAATGAATGAAAAATGGCCGCTCAAATGCAGGAAACCCCCACAGCAACACAGTGAGTTGAAGCTCAGCCAATCACAAGCGGGGAACGACACAGTCTGTTTTACATACAGTTGCTATAAAAAGAGCCGCCTCTGCCCGAGTCTCAGTACTCATTCGTCATTCGTTAGAGAAAATGCCTGATCCAGCGAAGTCTGCACCTAAGAAGGGCTCCAAGAAAGCCGTGACCAAGACCGCCAGCAAGACCGGCAAAAAGAGGAGAAAGACCAGGAAGGAGAGCTATGCTATCTACGTGTACAAGGTGATGAAGCAGGTCCATCCTGACACCGGTATTTCCTCCAAAGCCATGGGAATCATGAACTCGTTCGTCAACGACATCTTTGAACGCATCGCTTCTGAGGCTTCCCGTCTGGCTCACTACAACAAGCGCTCCACCATCACTTCCAGGGAGATCCAGACCGCCGTTCGTCTGCTGCTCCCCGGAGAGCTGGCTAAGCACGCCGTGTCTGAAGGAACCAAGGCCGTCACCAAGTACACCAGCTCCAAGTAAACGGTCATCTGCTCTTCAACTATAAACCAACGGCTCTTTTAAGAGCCACCCACTCTGCTTAGAGAGCATATTCCAAAGATTTTGTTTTTTTTATTGCATTATTTATTTTGATTATCCTCCAACACATCTGATCAAGTTGTTACTCCTAACATGTAATCATCTAATTTTTTTTATTAACCTATTATTTTACACTTTAGTACTCATGATGTTACAAATGCAATCCATTTAAATGTGTTCAGTTTAACAATAAACCTGTTTGACATGGAACGCCATCGGTTCTGAAACTGAAACATTTTAACGTTTTAATAGGCTAAAAGGCAATGAATGAACAATGGCCGCTCAAATGCAGGAAATGCAAATGAAAATGCAGGAAACCCCCACTGACACAGTGAGTTGCAGCTCAGCCAATCACAAGCGGGGAACGACACAGTCTGTTTTACATACAGCTGCTATAAAATAACCCGCCTCTGCCCCGACCGGCAAAAAGAGGAGAAAGACCAGGAAGGAGAGCTATGCTATCTACGTGTACAAGGTCATGAAGCAGGTCCATCCTGACACCGGTATTTCCTCCAAAGCCATGGGAATCATGAACTCGTTCGTCAACGACATCTTTGAACGCATCGCTTCTGAGGCTTCCCGTCTGGCTCACTACAACAAGCGCTCCACCATCACTTCCAGGGAGATCCAGACCGCCGTTCGTCTGCTGCTCCCCGGAGAGCTGGCTAAGCACGCCGTGTCTGAAGGAACCAAGGCCGTCACCAAGTACACCAGCTCCAAGTAAACGGTCATCTGCTCTTCAACTATAAACCAACGGCTCTTTTAAGAGCCACCCACTCTGCTTAAAGACCATGTCCTCGTGGTTTATTCATCGTTAAACATCGTCATAAGATACTTGTGTCTTGGGTACGTGTTGATAACTGACATGGCTTTTAATCATTAAATTAGTGGTCTTCATTAACATGAAAATAGTACACATTGCCTTTTGATCGCCTAACTAATAGAAAATCAGTCAACTAAACTAGTTTGTATTTTGTTTATGAAACCTAAATACAATTCATTACAATTCATTCAATTCATAATGGCTGAATCTGATAGCTCTTCATCCAGACTGAGACAAAACAACAACATTACCAAACACGTTGTGAAAGAAATGGCAGCTACCTACTAGCTGAATGAAGACAAATTGATAAAGGAAATTAAAGTTACATGACAGTGAAATTCACTCTTGAATGTGGAGTCCATGGCTCATGATTTAAAAATGAATAACTCAACTAACTAATTGTGAACTAAAACACATTTTAAGGTTTTATTTTAATAAAAAATATAATACTACTACTACTACTGCTGCTAATAATAATAACATGAAGCTGATGAAAGTGAACTTATTTAGCCTCAATCTCAACACCAAGAAGACAAAGGAAATCATCACTGACTTCAGAAAAACAAGGACCACACTGTACTCGGGTCTGAGCGGAGCAGGTCAAAGACTTCAAGCACTTCACTGCACACAAGAAGAAACAACTGCAGCCCATCATCAAGACTGCCCAGTGGATCATTGGCTCCCTGCTCCCACTCCTGGAGGAGATCCATTCCAACCGTCTCCTCTGAAGGCTAAAAAGATCAGAGATGACCCCTCTCACCCAGGACACTCTCTGTTCTCCAGCCTGACCAACTGGATGAGGAACAGCTTCTTCCCCATGGCTGTGAAGAGACTGTTGGAAGACTCAGAACACCAGCCCACAGTCTGCACACACACACACACACACACACACACACACAACACACTACTACTACTACCTCCCAGCCCTATGGACAACTGCAATAAACCTTTTTGTACAGACTTTTTATATAACTATTTATATCTGCACCTTATTTTGCTGCCCTTTCTAAAAATTAAAAAAAGGAGGCAGACCTAATGTTTTTGTCTAATCTTATCTTTTTGTCCTCAGAACAACAAACAATGTAAAATAACATTTACAATAAATAAAGGGGATATAGTATTTTCAACAAATACAAATTAAATATAATTTTAATAATATTTTCTTCAAGCTTCATTATTTGGGAAGTGTATCCAAAATTTGACCTCAGAACAACAAACGATGTAAAATAACATTTATAATAAATAAAGGGGTGTTTTAACAAATACAAATTAAATACAATTTTAATAATATTTTCTTCAAGCTTCATTATTTGGGAAGTGTATCACGTGTTGACAAACTACACTTTCTTTAGTCGTGTTTGAAATGGCTTATTGTGTTCTACAAATCTGACGTTGTGTAGCAGCTGTCAATACTCTGAGACGTCATCAGATGTTGAACCTTTTCCTCACTGTGCTAACGTCTATTTAATACCTTATAGCTCTAAGTTTAACCATCAACTATTCCGTGTCCCTGAGTACAGGTTAATTAGTGATAATATATCAAAGGAGATTCATGAGGATTCACAGCATTGCAGTAGGAGCGTCCTTCAGCAGCTCCACTGTTCCACGAGTCTCCATTATCTCTGTGTTTGCTGCTAACACATCGACTTCACTTTTTCTCATAATCCTCATCGAGAGCTTCTCGTTTTTGTTTAGACACACTAGAGGAACATGTTTCACAGCAAATGAACGGGTTTCGTCGGAGCGACGCCACATTTTTATCAGTTTTAAGCGACGACGAAGAAGGAAAAGCGACTGAGTAGTGCGAGTCTGAGCAGCGTTCACGACAGTTTTGGAGGTTGCTTCGACCAAACGCTGCGAACTACTGCTATATGAGCTACTTTAGAGTGAGCACAAACGCTGTCGCTCTCGGTCCAACCATTTGCTGTTCTCCTCCGACCCCATTCGGAAGGTTTATTCATACTTTTCGGTGAAGAGGAAACACAAAGTGTGCCGCTGTACTGAGCTCACTGGTGGGCCTCAGACTGGACTGAGTCTTCACGGTTCTCATGCTGAGTTAAAGTGCAGCCGGTGTGCAGGAAACTTTAGTTCTTTCGCTCCGACTTACAGAGATTCAGGCAGAAACCATGGCAGAACAAGCTCCCGCTCCCGCAGCCGCCGCTCCGGCCAAAGCAGCCAAGAAGAAGGCCAGCAAGCCCAAAAAGGCTGGACCCAGCGTCCGAGACCTGATCGTTAAAGCCGTGTCAGCATCCAACGAGCGCAACGGCGTTTCGCTCTCCGCCGTGAAGAAGGCTCTGGCCGCGGATGGATATGATGTGGAGAAAAACAACGTCCGCGTGAAGACCGCCATCAAGGCTCTGGTCCTCAAAGGACCCCTGGCCCAGCCTAAGGGAACTGGAGCGTCCGGCTCGTTCAAGATCAACAAAAAGGCTGCCGAACCCCAGCCTAAGAAACCTACAAAGAAGGCCCCCGCTAAAGCTAAGAAGCCCGCCGCCAAGAAACCCGCAACGG